AAAGACTGATGTTGTGGTCACATCTTTGCTAATATCTATCTTTGGCCCCATCCAAAAAAGCTAAATGTGTTATTCCACTCTTTTCCTGCCTGCTGTAGTTTTAACTGAGACTTTTACATGATTCCATTTTCTTTCTTCCTCAGCATATCAACTTTACTTCAAAAATATTTTTAGTCACTACCTTAGAGTTTGAAATGTGCATGTATAATCTAAGTCTACTTTCAACTAACACTATGCCACTTCATGATGAGTGCAGGTAACGCATAACAGGGTATGCCCACTTACTCTTTCTTGTCCCTTTATACAGTGCTGTCATTTATTGCATCATCAATGTGCTGTAATCATCCAATATGTTGTTGCAGCTTTAATTGTGAACAAACTGTTATCTATTCTATCAATTAAAAATAAGAAAAAGTTTAAAAATAAGAAATATTTTCTTTGCTTTCATTTATTTCTTCTCTAATGCTCTTCTTTCTTCATGTAGATCTGAGTTTCTGACATGTGATTTTCTTTTCTCTGAAGAACTTCTTTTATATTCCTTGCAAGTCAAGTCTGCTGTTGACATACTTTATCATTTTTGTTTGTCTGAGAAAGTCTTTATCTCTCCCTCACTTTCATAGGGAAGGTAAAATTTCAGCTTTACCCTCTTAGAGTTTTTGGCTGGACCTGAGAATTAAACTGATCTTAGATTACCAGGAGAAAAACATACAAATTTACACAAGTTTGACGTGGGAGCCCTCATAAGAAAATGAAGACCCAAAGAAATGGTGAAACCTGCAGCTTTTAAATTGGTTTGAATAACTGAGACTTTTGTGGAAAAGTAAATTATGAGGAGAGGTTAAAGGAAGATACAATTCTTTTGACAAGTTCTTTTTGTCCAGAATTATCTTGGCTTTGACTCCCTGTTAAAATGTTTTCTTTCTTCTGGTATGGAGGACATCTTTAACATGGAGTCTTTATCTTCTGTTTTTAGGAAGAAAGGGGAGATTAGTTTGTTCTTGAATCTACTACGTTTGAAGTACATTTAGCTCAAAATAATCCTTAAACCAAAGAGATATTTTGAGATGGCATCTTCCACCCTTGACTTTTGAAGGGTAATTTTTCCACATACAGAATTCTAGGCTGGTATTTTTTTCCTCTTTCAATATTTAATATGCTGTTTACTATCTTTCTGCTTTCACGGTTTCTGAAGAGAAGTCCAATGTAGTCCTTAGCTTCTTTCATCCAAAGGTAAAATGGTTTTTTTGTGTTTTTTTTTTTTTTTCCTTCTGGCTTCTTTCTCTTTTCTTTGATTTTCTGTAGTTTGAATTATAATATGTTTAGGTGTCAATTTTTTTTTTGTTTGCTAACTTCATTAATTTTGGGAAATTCTCAGCCATTATAACATCATGATTGCATCTTTTCTTTTATCAACTTTTTTCCTTCTAGCATTCCTCTAATGTGTGTATTACACCTTTGGAATTGTCCTACTGGTCTTCAAAATTCTCAGTTGTTTTTTTTTTTTCATTCTTTTTCTTTTCAGTTTGGGAAGTTTCTATGGACAAATCTTCAGACTCACTAATTCTTTCCTTAGCCATATATAGTTTATTAGTGCACACATCAAAGTTATTCTTTAATTCTTTACCATTGTTTTTAATTTCTAGCATTTCTTTGTGGTTATTTCAAAGAGTTTCCATCTCTGTGCTTACATTAGCCATCTTTTCTTGCATTTTCTTCCATTAGTGCCCTTAGTATATTAATCATATTTAAATCACCAATCTGATAATTCCAAAATCTCTTCCATATCTGAGTCTAGTATTGATGCTTGCTTTGTATCTGCAAACTGTTGTTTGCCTTTTAACATACCTTGTAATTTCTTGTTGAAAGCTAGGCATAATGTATAGGATAAAAGAAATTGAGGTAATAGGTCCTTAGTGTGAGCTTTTAAAATAGGAATTAGGCTGTGTTCATTGGTTACTGTACCTGTAGGAGTCAGAAACTAACATTCTGTGTAGTGTTCTAGTTTACTGTTTCCCTGTTGTCTTTCTCTAGAGACCCCTACTTAAATAGGATCATAAATGTCATTCTTTCCATTGTAATCTCCTGCTATCATATATAAGTCTCTTTGATATGGTTGGTGAAGTATAGGGGAGCTGAAGCATTCTATAATCCTATAATTAAGTCTCAGTCTTTTACTGATCTTGCTTCTCAGCGTTTTTCCTCACATCTCTTTAGTGAGATAGAATGGTCATCCGGGACTGGAGTTTGGTAATTCCCTTCCCACATCAGTTAGACTCTGTACAACCCAACTTGGCTAGGCTGTAGCAAAATAGATTTTCTTAGCTAAGGACTTTTTTAAGGAGAAGTGAGCAATCTGGATGTATTTCAAAATGGTTACTTTTCTCCTCACCCTGTCTAAAGCATGAGGGGATTTTTCTTAGAAGAATGAGCAACAGATAGATTAGGTTTGGGTTGGGAAGATCAGAATTTCACTGTAAACGTGTTAATTTTGAGACATCTTTTGGACATCCAAGTGGAGATCATAAGTAGATATTTGGAGTGCAGGAGAATTATTTGGCTAGAGATACACATTGAAGAATCATCAGCATACAGATGAGACTTAAAGACAGGTGTGAGACTGTGTAAGATCAAGTGGGTGTGAGTGTAGACAAAGAAAGAAGCAGAACCAAGAAACATTAAAAGGTATGTGTGTGTGTGGTGGGGGGGTGGGGGGGTGGGGTGCAGGGGTAGTAGGTGGTGTGTAGAGGAGAAGAAACCAGAAAAAAAGTTGAGAAGAATGATAAGAAGGAAATAAGTGGGGAAAAAAAGTGAAAAAAAAAAAAAAGGAAATAAGTGAGGAAATTATATAGCAGAGTCAAATCTACTATTCAAATACTGCTGGTATTACAAGTAGGATCAGATAAGGTAGCATATCTTCAGTGGATTTGGTGCAGAAGCATTGAATATAGGTCAGGAATTAGATACATAAAACTGAACAGAAGTTAGGTATCCTGGCCCATAGGCTTTCTCTGGCAATGAAATCATCCTAAAGTATTAAGACAGTTCTTTCCCCACTGTACTCATTGTGCCCAAATGCAGATTGTGATCTAGCTTGTATTATGGTCTTTCTGTTCAATTTAGAAACTCAGAAACTCCTTGATGGCATCTATTCTACCAGGGTCAAGCTGTGCCCTCAACTTGAGAAATGACTTGAGTCTATGAACCCATCTAGTCCTAGCTCTATAATTCTTAAACACTGTCCATTTCAACTGAAATAAGTGTGATTTTAAAGTTCCTAAAATTACGTTGTAATTTTTGAAATTACAATTTCAAAAGTTTGAGTTTACCAAATTTTATAAAATGAACTGATAAAGCTTTTTTTTTTAAATTTCCCCTCTTTTCTTTTTTAATGGAAAATCTTTGAGGTTTTTACTGACCTTCAACCTATAGATAACCATTGATTTTTAAAAAATTTTTATGTTCAAGAAAATAAAATAATACAGTATCATGCTGTGTGTTTTTAGGAACTCTCTTATGCATCATGTACAAGTAATATGACACAAATTAGAGTTTTCAAATGATGCATAAACAGTAATATAAAACATATTAATATAGGTAATGTTTTATAAAAGAAAAATTCTGTCTTCCAAATATTCCAAATTATTCATTTACAAAAGCATACAGGGAAGAAAGAATATTGACAGAAGGGTAGCTAGATATACTGGAAAACAATGGTAGATCATAAAAAGGCTACAAAACATTAAGTGTTAAGAAATTTTCAAGAAAATACTAACCATTATAAAATCCTTTTAATGTTAATGCAAAATTTTATTTTTTGATGCAAGATCATCTGTAATGATACTGTGTGGGACAGCATATGGAGAGCAGATGATTTCAGGACAATATTTTAAGTGTCTCTGTAGGCTCAAAGAAAGACTTCTGAGACAGTGGGCTCTTGGAAAAAATAAAGAGATTCATTATTCCCGGTGACACATTGGCAGAGAATGCATCATTAAGTACTCTGCCAGCAAACCTAAAATTCCTGAGTGGTCTTTTGACTGTAACATTCTGTACTACTTCTTTTCTGTCTAGGTGTTAAGGCAGCACCAGCAAAGAGAAGAATATTTTTCACACTGGAAAAAGACTGCCTTTTGGTATCCATTTCCACATATTACTTAATCTTGAATATTTTATACCCCATGATTTTGCAAAACAGTTACACCCGATAGGATAGAATTTTGTATAAAGATTGTATGTCTTGAGGCTTATGGGGAAGAATCTTATGTAAAATACCCAAACTTTCCTCTAAGATTATTTTACATACACTATCTGGACCGCAAAAACATGACCTAAAATGATATAATAAATTATCTGAAAAGATACTCATACGTTTAAACACATGTACATACATTCATGTATGTTATGTATGATAAACTACAAAAAAGAATTGGGATAGTTAACACCAAAATCGGAGGAATGACTACTCTTAGGTTAAAGTGAGGAGGATATGATTTTGGTGACGTTTGTAGGGCTCCAAGATACTAGTTAATGTCCATTTCTAAAACTAGGCAGATTTATGGATGTTGGTTTTATTTACAGTCTATTTCATTTTTAAATATAAAGATGGGAAAGTCATGCATAAGCAATGTTATATCATAAGCATCTGAGATTTTCTAATACGTTTATTTGTGCTACCTGGATTGAGTTTTTTTTTTTTTAACTTTCTTTGAAGTGAAGTAACTCAGTTGTGTCCGACTCTTCGTGACCACATGGACTGAAGTCTGCCAGGCTCCTCTATCCATGGGATTTTCCAGGCAGGAGTACTGGAGGGGGTGCCATTTCCCTAGGATATTTATTTAATTAGAGCATAGTTGCTTTACAAGGTTGTTAGTTTCTGCTGTACGGTTAAGTGAATCAGCCACATGTATGCACATTTCCCCTCTTCCTTGGGTTTCCTGGAGTGATTTTAATACTACTCCAGAGCAACATTTTGATGCAAAAAAATGTCTTTTCTTTTTCAGTCCGAAAGGATATAGTCCGTATCCTCCCCAGTTTAGATGTTGAAGTCAAAGACATTACCGACAGCTATGATGCCAACTGGTTTCTTCAGGTGTTATCTACACAAGATCTTTATGAAATGACCAATAAAGAGTTCCCCATAGTAGCTGAAGTCATAGAAGCGCCCCAAGGAAACCAGCTACCCATAAGCATTTTACAGCCTGGGAAAACCATTGTGATCCACAAAAAGTGCCAGGCATCAAAGATCTTGGCTTCAGAAATTAGAAGCAATTCCCCTAAAAGACACTTCTTGATCCCCACTAGCTATAAAGGCAGATTCAAGCGGCGACCTCGAGAGTTCCCAACTGCCTATGACCTTGAGATAGCAAAGAGTGAAAAGGAGCTTCTGCACGTGGTGGCCACCAAAGGCTTTCATTCCCCCTTTGAGGAGCTGTCATCTGTATCTGTCGGGGATGAGTTTCTAGTGCATCACTCACACACAACTGAAGTCCTCTGTGAAGGAATTAAAAAAGTGATGGATGTTCTGGCGTGTGAAAAAATCCTCAAAAATTCCCATGAGGCAGCACTGCTGCCCTTGTACATGGACGGAGGTTTTGTAGAGGTGATCCATGATAAGAAACTGTACCAGATTTCCGAGCTTTGTGCACAGTTCCGCCTGCCCTTCAATGTGAAGGTGTCTGTGAGAGATCTTTTTATTGAAAGAGACATTTTGGCTGCTACACCAGGACTACAGTTGGAGGAATCTATCACTAACTCTTATCTCCTCATAAGTGACTTTGCCAACCCCAAGGAGTGCTGGGAAATTCCTGTTGGCCGCGTGAATATGACTGTTCAGTTAGTTAATAATTTTTCTGGGGATCCAGGACCATTTCTAGTCAGTACTCTGGTCGAAGAGATCACTGAAGAACAGTATTACATGATACGGAGATATGAAAGCTCTTTCTTGCATCCCCCACCTCGCCCTCCGAAGCATCCCACAGTGGAGAAAATAGAGTTAACTCCGCTGAGCTTAGCAAAAAAAAAGACAGTGAATCTGCCCAAGTCTCCCAAGGTAAGGCTATGATTTTGCAGTTTTTCCTCTTGAGTGTTTTCCTGGAGGCAGTTTATTTCAAGTCTTTTCTGAATCTGGTTTTTGCTTACTTCTCTTCCTTTCATGCCATATTTGAAATGAGCCTTTCTGATGCACAGTAGATGATTGAACTTCAATAGAGCATAAGCTGTCACAGCATTTTGTATTTTGATGCTTCACCAGTAGATGTGACAAGAAGTATAAGAATTAGGAATAGTGGGGATGGCACTTGATTATGATGACCCAAATTGCTGTTTCAATGGGTTTTGTTCATTAGGAATGGTTTATAAGGTGCCTCAGAAGCAAATCTCTGTTATTTTGGAAGAGCTGTTCACTTTTTTCTAGGTGGAGTTGTTTTAATACTACATCCAGGAAATGAGCACACAATAAACTCCCTTCTTCTGGGGGTGGGGTACCAGTAGCAGGCGTCTATGACACATGTCTTCATTTTGTTTTATGTGCAGAAAGATGCAAAAGTATCTTGGCAGAACTGTGTGAGAATATGGGCATCTGCCCACATTCTGCATGTCTGAGAACTGTCATCTTTAACAGTTCTTTTGAAAAACAAAATCAATAAAATTGCAGACAGTATGAGATCATTACAGAATCAACAACTCCATAACCGCTCTAAAGATTTTGGGAGGGGAGGGGTTTCAGCTTCGTTTTCTCTGAAAGTTTTTGCCTCTTGGAAACCACCTGCTGAGTGCCTGGAAATCACTTATCCCTACCCCAGGGAACTCAGGTCCTTCATCTGGCCGGCAGTAGTTCTCTGGTGTGTGGAGAGAGTGCGTTCTGGCCTGGCAGATGTTGAGCTGGCAGCTTGGGGAAACAAAGCAATTAGTAAAACAGAGAGATGCTGTGTTTACTCTCTACACTCAGGAATGATAGCAGCCTGAGGCTTCAAGGATGTGGGTATGGAAATACTTTTGCTTCTACATTTCAAAGATTGCGTTCTGATTGTTTGCTGGGGAAATCCAATAAAAATCTTCAAACTCATCTTCAGGAAAAGATAAAACCAGCAGAAATTTCCTTTCCAGAAAATCAATTTTGAAGGAGTCATTTTGAAATTAAACTGTTTCCAAATAAAGTTGATTAACAGGCTGCTAAACATGGAGAGTGTCTGGCTTCTCCTGTTTAATATATTTTTATTACTGAATCAAATGATGTGAGAGATGGAATGTTCTCATTTTTAGTGGGAAGCAGAAGAAAGTCCCATCCCCTTACCACCACCCTCTCTGCCTATGCCTATGTCTATGCTAAGCCCCCAGAACTGTTGAATACATGACATTGGAAAGCAAAGGAGACTTGGCGTATGTACTTGAAATTAAGGACTTTGAGATGAGGTTATCCTGGATCATTCAGGTGTGTCCAAGTTAATCACAAGAGTCCTTAAAATATCTTTCTTACTTGAGGTTAGGGTCAGAGAGAGATGTGACTACAGAAGAACATTAGAGAGGTGGAGCATTTCTGCCTTGGTAGATGGAGGAAGGAATCATTGAGGCAAGGAATGTGGATGGTCTCTAGAAGCTAGAATGACAAGAAAGCTTTCTTCCCTAGAGCCTCCAAAAAGTTTCTTAACTAGTTAATGTAAATAGGGGTTTCCCTGAGTTCTGTGAGCCACTCTATAGCAAGTTAATGGAACCCAAGGATGGGATTCTGGGGACCTCTGATTTGTAACCATCAGACAGAAGCTGTCAATAACCTGGGGACCTACTACTTGCAGCTGGCATCTGAAGTGGGCAGCAGTCCTGTGGGACTGCTCCCTTAAACTGTGTTGTTTTGCTGGCAAAGTGGTTTTTCCCTTCCTTTTTCCTTTTAATGAAAGTATGAGTTCCTGTACCTTTGGAGAACCTACGGGGACACTAGGATCCAGGGGTGAATTAGAGACAGGATGTAGAACATAGCCAGAGTGGTTCTTCATTTTCATCAAACATTGGACAGTTCCCGCATCTTGTGGTTTCATCACTAGAGAAGAATGTAATTTCTTTGTTTGGTTCCAATTTTTAAAAGAAGAAGGAGTTTGGATGACATGCCCATCTCCTGTTTCAATCAACTCATTGGTTGTCCTAACTACAGCCAGGATTGGTGGGGAAGGGAATGACAACTAGTTGTCTCGAATAATAGAAATAGGGGAGCAGTATGTGAAGGTCTAGAGATAGAGTAGGTGCCTATTACTAGTAGAAGGGAAAAGACCAAAAATCCCTAAACTACTAAGAAAGCATTTGTAAAAAATAAATAAATTTAAAAAAGTTTAAATGCCCTTTGAAAGAATGTCACATGAAAATGATTGATGTGCTTCATTAGGAAAGAAACGCAAAGCAATAATGCTGTATCTAGGTTACTGCTTAGAAAACCCTCTAGTCTTCCTCCTATGTTTTTAAAGTATATGATACAGGATACTGATGAACAGTCAGATAAAGGTCTGGGAGGGTCAAGAATTTCTGAGGTGTACAGTACTATCCTTCTGGTGTGTGGATGTGTCCACTAAACTGAAAGTTCTCTGGACTCTGTACTTTTAGGAATTTTATGGAAGTTTCCTCTTGTAAGCATGAGCAATTACTAACTCCTCTTCCAGTCCCTCTCCTCTAGAGAATGGGGGTTAGGCCTGAAAATTCCAAGCTTCTAATCATGGCTTGGTGTTTCTGGTGACCAGCCCCCATCCAAGAGCCATCTGAGAATCTACCCAGAGTCACCTTATTAGAACAAAAGGCACCCCTATAGATAGCCTATGGTGAAGGATATGAAATTCGTGACCTCCAAAGAAGATATAGCTTTGGGATCAGGGACCATGCCTGATCATTCAGGCTCTTGTGTGGCAGGAGTTTATTACAGTGAAAAAGGACAGAGAATGCTTATGACAGACATCAGAAGGGGAACAGAGAGTGCCCTCCCCCCCCCAGTCTTATCAAGGGCTTACATACTTTTAGGCCCATTCCCACAAGATACATCTTAAATGAACAAGATTAGAACTAACAATAGAAAGGTCTTACCAGACCCACTCCTACAAGATAACCAGATTAGTCAGAAGGTTCTTGTTAAGGAAGAGAAACAATATACATTGTTATTATATAATCATTAGAAGTGAAGTGAAAATCACTCAGTCCTGTCCAACTCTTTGCCACATCATGAAATTCTCCAGGCCAGAATACTGCAGTGTGTAGCCGCTCACTTCTCCAGGAGATCTTCCCAACCCAGGGATCAACCCAGGTCTCCTGCATTGCAGGCAGACTCTTTACCAGCTGAACCACAAGGGAAGCTCATTAGCACTAAGCTTAATGAAAAACACACCCTTGAGCAAGATGAGTTTTGTTGTGTAATCATTAGCTCTGAGCTTAAAGAAAATAATGTCTTATGTGACTAAGACAAACCAATGTAGAAAAAATAAAGTTGGTCCTTTTCTCCTCCTTGAGAGCCGTGTACCCCTTTCTCCTCCTCGAGGATCTCAGACTCCTTCCTCCTTGAGGGCCTCGGACTCTTTATCAACTATCTAAGAATTAAGTCTCTCACTATCACACAGAAAATTCCAGGGGATTTAGAAACCCTGTGTCAGGAGCTGGGGTGAAAGACCAAATATTAGAAAAGAAGATGTTCCTAGTATCTTTTCACCTAGGAATTTACAAGGGCTTCGGGAGCTCTGTGCCAAGAATCAGGGGCAGAGATCAGTACATATATTTTCTTTTATCACCAGCTGCTAAACTAAAACAAATGCTATCTTTGATTAAAATCATACATGTAGGACTCCAGATCAAATTAATAATTCCTGTTTATTCAATTTTCAGACCCCACATCGATTCTGTGTCTAGTTCTGAGTCACACTTCTAAACAATGTTGATTAACTGAACTTTGTTAAGACGTTAAGAGTTATTTGTTAAGATTTAAAAGTTCCATGAGTCATTTTATTCTGTGAATGACTGAGGAAAATGAGTGATAGTCTAAACTTGAATGACTTAGTGCTAAGATGATGTTAGTTATTTTATAATTGAAAGAGCTATTTTGTAGCAAAGAGTGCATTCTTATTTTCCATTGCGACATTGGTTGAGACTGAAAGGAAGGACATTTTTGGTGTAATACATTGGAACTTATTTCTTGGCTCTGAAAAGGTTTCAGCAGAAGCTAGGAAATCCTAGGTCAGTGGTGTTATCAAGAGATACCTGCTTGATGGAAAGTTTATCAGTCAATTGAGAGTCTATAATTTTTCATAATTAGTTTCATCATTTCTGGTGTGGTCAATAAAGAGCTATATTAATCTGAAATCAGTTTAAAATGCCAGAGTATGCTCTAATTTACCTGTGTTCAGATCTACTGACAACCTCATTTTCAACATTTTTTCTCACCATGAAGATAAGACTTTACTCAGTATATTATTTTTGGAATTTAAACAAAAACTCTGTCAGTTTCTTCATAATGTACTTGAAAAATCTTGCAACAACCATTTCTTATTATCACAATGTCATCCTTTCATATATTTCTTTCATATTTCTTCTGATATCTGCATTAAAGCTCTTCTATATATGCTTTTGAAGGGATTGGATAAGATTTAAAAAAAAATATTTGTAGGCAGAAAGCAGCCACTGAAAGCAAGCCTCAAAGATTTTGGATTGTATGTGGAATAGTGCCTTAAATTCAGATAATAATTTGTAAGGGTTATTTGGAGTTTAACTATTCAAACTGACTTGACTCATTAAAATACCATATTACATATGTAGAGAAGAATATCAGATCCTTCACTGTATAGTTTACTTTTGCCTTCCCTTGGTCCTTAGCTTTACAAGATCATTTCTTGAACTGTTAATAATAGAATAGTTGTATAGACTGTCTAATAGTAAGAAATTAAATATACACAGTGTTAGTCAGATTCACTTGTGATAGGTATCCATTGTCAGTTGTGAACTCTACATTTCACCTAAGAAGTTTAGAAATTAAGACACTTTTAGGATAGGTTATAGGAGCTAGAATATTATAGAATTGTTTCCCAAGGTGAG